GAGTTTCTGAGCATAAGCATGAGCGGTATTAAGAAAATGAGCAAGAGGAACGTGAAATGATAAAGCATTCCAGAAACAAAGGAAGGAGGCAGAGAACACAGATAAAACCAGCAAGAAAAAGAAGAGAAATAAAAGAAGCCAGTGAGCACAGTGAGAAGTTTTCAGGACAGCCAGCTGCTTTCTTAGCCTTTGGGATATGAACACTCTTTCTCTGGTTTGTATCAGCTTTTCTCTCTCTGATGCTACTAGTGTCAACACGGGGACTGTGGCTGGCTTCTGTGTCAATGTGTTTATATTTAAAAATATTATGGGGGCACAAATGTTTTTGGTCATGCAGGTTGCTTTTATAATGCTTGAATCAAGGTTACAAGTGTGCCCATCTCCCAGGTAGTGTTGGTTGTACCTTTAGGTAGATTTTTGCCTGGGCTCTCCTCCCTTTAGGTAGATTTTTGTCTGGGCTCTCCTCCCTTTAGGTAGATTTTTGCCTGGGCTCTCCTCCCCTTAGGTAGATTTTTGCCTGGGCTCTCCTCCCTTTAGGTAGATTTTTGCCTGGGCTCCTCCCCTTAGCTCCTGCTTGATTTCCTTTCAGTCTTACTTCCCTCTGTGCACCTGTGCTCATCAGTCAGTTCCAGTTTAATAGTGAGTGCACACAGGTTTGCTTTTTTTATTGTTTAGACACTTCACTTAGGATAACTGTTGCAAGTTTTGTCCAAATTATTGCAAAAGGCATCAAGTCACATTTCTTCATGACTGAGTAGTATTCCACCATATGCCATGTTTTGTTAATTGATTCATGAACTGATGGACATTTGGGTTGATTCCACATCTTTGCAATTATGAATTGTGCTTCATTCACATTTGAGTGCAGGTGACTTCTTGCCTTGGAAAATTCTTCTAGATATAGGTCTAGGCAAAGAATCTATGAAGAAGACCCCAGTGGCAATCACAGCAATAAGAGAAATAAATACATGGGGCTTGATTAAATTAAAAGCATCTGTGCAACCAAGGAAATAATCAACAAAGAAAACAGACAACCTATAGGATGGGAGAAAATACTTGCAAGCAAACATCTGATAAAAATCTAACTAATAATGAAAATCCACAAGGAACTCAAGAAAATCATCAAGAAGACACTAAACTGGGGCAGTGCCTGTGGCTCAAGGAGTAGTGCACCAGCCCCATATGCCAGAGGTGGCCGGTTCAAACCCAGCCCTGGCCAAAAACTGTAAAAAAAAAAAAAAAAAGAAGACACTAAACTGCCCCATTAAAATGTGGGCCAAAGACATGAAAAGGAGCTTTGAAAAAGAAGATAGAAAAATGGCCAATAAACATGAAAAAAGGCTCAATGTCACTAATCATCAGGGAAATGCAAATTAAAACCATGGTGAGATATCACCTCATCCCAGTGAGAATGTCCCTTATTAAGAAGTCCAAAAACAGCAGCTGTCAGCATGGATGCAGAGAGAAAGAACCACTGAAACAGTGTTGGTGGGACTGCAAATTAGTACACCCTCCGTGGAAAACAGTATGGAGATTAAACTCAGACTAATTAAGACTAAAAGTCAACCTGCTATTTGTATCAATCTTTATCAAATTATAATCTCCAAAGCTTGATTATTGTTTGATTTAATAAGACCTATAAATTGGTTTTTATTGAGTTTCTATCAATGTACCAACCTACGGCACTGTACTTCCTGTCTCAGCAGAGGGCAAATGTGGAATGCCTTGTTGTTCCATGTCCAGTGGGATCAACACTCTTAGGTCCTTGCTAAGTGCCAGCACTGGCAAGACTCTGGGGGTATAATAGTTAGAAACCATCCTTATCTGATGGGGGAGAGGAATACACACTCTGATAGCCAAGACAAGGGAGATTTTGAGCAATGTCAGACTAGCAGTGGGAGACCAATTTGTAGGATGACGCTACATCCCAGTTTTTCTGAAACAGTCCACATTTCTGCTTTTCCCCCTCTCCTGTAATCCTTAGTAACATCTCTTTCTCTATGCATCCTAGTTTGGGTGCAAATTCTGTGGTCACCTTACCATTGCAGGGGTTCAGGCAGGACTTTATGATGTCCAAAATTCACTGGGGCTAGAGTGGAAGGAGAGGAGTTGCTGCCCAATACTCGGACCAGGGCAGGCACATTGATACCTTTACTGTCTCTTTTATTTTTAATTTAAATTTAATTTTTTACTAAACCATAACTGTATACATTTATGGGGTACAATGGGATGATTTTATATACAATGTGGAATGCTTAAATGAAACTGATTAACATAACCATCACCTCGCTTATTTATTTTTTGTGGTAAGACATTCATCCACCTCTCACACAGACCAGGGCAGGGATAAAAGAATTCCAGTGAAAACTTAGTATCAGCAGAATACCAAATATTACGAACATATAACCACCACCTGGTTAACCGCTCAGTGGGCTTGCTGTTTATTTACCAGCTCTGATTGTACTTGCTTAAGAAATATGAAAAGAAATGAAAAGTCAGAGAGATAAGCTGTAGTTGTACAGGGGTGTGAGGACATGCTGCTGTTCTTGAAGTAAAACTGAATTTTCATGGACGGTTTTGGAACTTGCAGACAAGGACTGTGCAGCTCTGTTAAAGCTTCATCCATTTGGGGTCATTATAACCTTGCAAGATGGTTAAGTACAGAGCCAATTTAGTCAACTGAAAAACAATCGTTTGTTTCCTAGCACAAGTATTTAATCATGAGCTGTCAGGTAAACCTCCTATTAGGACCCAGAAAGGTTTACTTGGTGGTAGTAATTGAGGAATATTTTTTAAAAAGAGAATGAAATAACTAGACTCAAGAGAAAAGAATTATGCTTTAGCAGGAAAAAAAAAAAAAACGAATAAGAGGAAATGAAAAGGGTGAAGTGCTGCCGTTTCCTTTATTTTACTTTTTAACGTTTCTCCCGCTAGTCTCTCTCATTTCGTACATACAATGCAGGCCCTTCTCCCCCTCTAATCCCACTATTACCTTGTATTTACACAGTGCTTATCTCCTGGAAGCTTACAGGCCTACCTCTAAATCCACGCCACTTTAGAAAGCATTGCTTAACAAAAGGGGGATGCTTTTATTCAATCAGTCACTTCATTAAATGTGCAGGATGCAGCTTGGAGCTGGATTTGCCTTAAGTCTTTGTGCTGTGGGCCGCACACATGCATGTCACAGCTCCACACTGCCCAGGCAAAAGGAAACACAAGATTATGATTTTGCAAGTGGGAGCCAAGCCTACCATCATCCCTTTCCTCCAACTGTGATTCAGGGCCATGTTTCTTTCTAATCTGTGAAGAACGAGCCACCAGTTTGCTGATTTACCTTCGCATCTTTCAATCCCGTAAAATATGTTTGTCGGTTGTCTTTCTGTTTGGGAGCACTTATTTCTAACAGGCAGGACAATTTGCTTGAATTCGAACTCTTGCATTTTCTCCTCCATTTATACTTTTCAGACTGTTTGCAGAATTTCATTTCATCAGATTTATTTCCTCTGAAAAGAATTAAAAGAAAAACCTCTCAGATGGGAGGGAATGGTTTGGAGATGGAAACATTTTAGTAGTTTCTTCAAAAAAATTTGTTGCAACTTTATTATTCTTACAAAAAGTGCATGCTTTCCATGCATCCATAATTAATGAAATCAAACTCACTGTCTTGGACTCACTACAAGTTAACTCTCCATATTTTTCTTTTAGCTATTTTTTTTTAATTGAATGATAACTGTGTACATTAATGCGCTTCTGGGGTACAGTGTGGTATTTTAACACACAATCCGAAACACTTCCATCAAACTGGTTAACATAGCCTTCATGTCATTTTCTTAGTTATTGTTTTAAAATGTTCATATTCTACTCTTAGATTCACTTGTACCCTTATAAGATAAACCACAGAAGTGATCCCTCCAATCCCCCTCCCTCCGCCCACTCCCCTCTTCCCCCTCCCCGTATTCTTAGGCTGTTATTAGGTTATAGCTTTCATATAAAAGGTTTAAATTAATTTCATAATAGGGGTGTGTGCACTGGATACTTTTTCTTCCATTCCTGTGATACTTTGCTAAGAAGAACATTTTCCAGCAGCCGGGCTCTTAATGCTAGAGGCGTCCACTGTTCCTATTCATCCTTAAAGTCTGTTGACCCTCCTGAACTTTCATATTTCTCAGCCCTCTTCCTCCTTTGCCATTTCTCCCTTCTCCATTTTAGAGATCAGGCTAACATAACTTCAGACTATCAATTAGGAGGCAATGCCCAGGATATTTCTTTTAATTTTTGGTAAATAAGTTGATAAACATTTTATAAATAAATAATTTAAACGAGGTGATGCCACAGAATATCCAATAGGTTTACATGGTAATTTTTAAGAAAGTGTTGGGTATGTTATTTTGTCAATACAAACAGTGTTAACAATACAGTTTTTTCTCATTGACCAGGATGCCTCTTGGGATACTGGATAATCCCAGCCTCATAACATACACGATAACTCATCCTCAGAGTGACCATAGAAGGAATCAGAGGTGTCCATCTTCCATTCAGATGGGATAAGCCCAGAGAAGGATATGATGTCCAACTTCATTGTAAAGATAAAGCAGTCAGTTAGAAAAGGCTAGTGCTAAATCACATCACTGTCCATTGAAATAAGAATAAAGTGATGTCACCAATATTTATTTCATTCGTTTGAATTTTTATTTGAGAATCAGCTAAAAGAACCCAAAGCAGTTTCCTCTTAGCCCCTCACTGACATCTTTACTGGATGTAACAAACACACATACTTACATTACAAATAGAAAGCCAAAATGTCTATGTTATGGTTTTAGAAGGATCTATTTTGTAATGGGCTTCACTTTCTGTGCATTGTGTAATTGCCACGTTATAAACCTTTCACTGCTAGATATATAAAAGTAGCCTTTTAAATTCTTTATATTATAATTTCATGTGAGAACAAGAACTCTGATTGGAAAGTAGTTAATAAACCTCATTTTCTTTGTTTATACTAGGAATCAAGAAGTATTTATAAACCATCGCCACATAGTAACGCGGCTATTACAATGATCTATTTGGGGAAAAATGTACACCTAGCTTATGATAACCCAGACTTCCGGGATGAAATAAAAGTTTATCAACAGCACTGTGGTGGGGAAAATCTTTGTGTCTACAAAGGCAAACTACTTGAAAAAGGTACACATAAAACGTTAATTTGTTTTAATTGCTCGGAGTTGATGTTATAGATAAGCTGTTGTTGATATAATATCAAAATGACTTCAATCACTTTGGGAAATTATGCATATCCAGGGACTTATAAACCAACTGCCTAAAAGTAAATCTTGATTTACTGCTCCATGATTGAAACTGAAACAGCAATTACTCTTGCAGATTGTGGAAGAAAGGATTTGGAGTGATTTAACCTGGTAACAGATTAATTTGGGGGTAGAAATATATAATCATTAAAATGTTGCATGGATAAGCTGTCCCCCAAATTACAAGTTAACTATTTGGCTTGCCATCGTGAATTATACCGTACATTATTCTAGGAGAAAAATATCAGATTGGCAATTTGTTCTTCAGAGGTAGGTTGAGATAAAATCATGAATCTAATAAACTTCAGGGTGAAATCATATCTGAATAACTTGGTGCAGAATTTGGGTAAATCATTTTTAGTCCATTTCTGCTTTCATTTGATTATAAGTCCCTGTTTTTCAGCATAAGATAATGTTTCTATTTAATATGTCTTTTCACAAATTGCACTGTAGTGTTTTTCTTCAACATTAGTTCAGGGGAACAGTAGTGAAATGAGTGTTTACAGGGTTACTTTTGTTATTTCCTTGCTTAAGAAACTGTGTTTAGAAAGTAATACTGTATTTACTAATCAAAAGAAGTGTTTATGTTTGGTTAATGTTAATATGGACCATTGGTTCTCAACCTGTGGGTCGCGACCCCTCTGTAACAATGAAAATGCATCTGAAGAATTGAGGGAGGAGTTGGGGCAAACATGGAACTTTTACTATTGGTATTTCTGATTTCCCTCATCGGTCAAAAGCAACAACTATTAATTTCAAACTTTTCAAGTCCTTAAAGAGGAACTGTAACCACATAAATAGGAATTACATATTTAAAACTTCCTGACATAAAAAAGAGTGAACACTCGAACGTTAGTTTTAACTTATACTCGTACTACGATGCTTGATCCTGGTAGAAATTATTTTTCCCATCTTACATGTTTGGTGGAAATGTAGTTGACTACTTTTTCTCATTTTGCCACAGAGTTTGTGCCTTCTATTTGTAGATGAGGAAAATGAATCCATGGGTAGGATGGCTGTCCAAGGTCACACTGTGGGCAGAGTCGAGAGCAGATTCTGGCCCCCGACTAGATGCAAGACCCCACTCAGTTCCATGCAGCCTCAGTTAGCTATTGTCAATAGCAAAGGGTTTCTTACCTTTTTCGTAATATGAGTCAGAAACCCTAATAATAATGACATAAATACATATTATCATTTTTTAAGCATAACTTCAAGCTATTAATTTAGGGAGGATGCTGGAACTAGCTGTAGGCTAAAATTGAAACTGACCTAATACAAATGGTCCTGGGTCTTAGATTACACTTCGTTCAAAAAAGGCATACTTAATATCTGTTTGACTGCTGGGGAAAGTGGTAGATGCTGAATGATTTTCTGGTAGATGAGATACATTCTGTGCTGAGAGTGCAGAGCTCAGGGTGATGGGGGAAGGGTGTGACTGGCTCGGTTTTACTTTGCACACAGACTGACGCCGGGCCTCGGTGTTGTGGCATCGAACAGTCTTGATTAATAGGATGCAATGGAACCTTAAATAATTAAATCCCGTCCACATGATAATCTTGTCTCAGCTTGCCCTTGATTGCCAGGAAAGTAATTGTTCAAAATTAAAAAGTTGGGTGGCGCGGAGCCGACTTGTGGTTCAGCCATCTTAGTAGTTTAGTTGAACTGAAAAGACTTTGCCCTTTGTACAAATCAAAGCTGTGCAGGATTCAGTGAAATGTGAAGAGGGTTTTAGAAGATTTCTATTAAAAGAAAAAAAGACGGAGTGTAATATTCTTCTTGGAGCACTAAACTCATTAAAATGTGGCATTTGTTAATTTGCCTTGCTTCTATATAGACATAATAATAAAATCAATTATTTAGGAATGCAGCAAGTAGATCTTTTATTCTCACAGTAATTCATGGTGTCTCACAGTTTGATTTTAGATGTCAAGCTACAAGTGGATTGTTTATTACACCTGCCTATGACGTTACCACGTATTTCCTGCTAGTTGTAAAGAGGACCATTTCTCCACAGGCATTTTCATTTGCTTTTTTTGTCCTTTCAAACAACACAAAACTTGGCTTCTCGGGTTCATGTGGGTGTCAAGAATGAAGCAACATTATTATTTCTTCCTTTTCTGCCCCATTTTCTGGTATTTTCCTGTCCTGGTCCTGGGGTGCCTGTCTGCTCCTCATCACGCCTTCTTCACTGCCCCACCCTGCTGTTGTCTCCCCTGTGGTTGTTGTATTTCCTTTGTCTGGAATGCTCTCTGCCTTCCCTCCTTTTATTTTGTTTTTATTTTTTTTAAGTAAATTTATTTCAGGTTAGTGTGAGGGTACAAACAACCAGGTCAAAACATTGGTTTTTTTTTTTTTTTTTTTTGTAGAGACAGTCTCACTTTATCACCCTTGGTAGAGTGCCCTGGCATCACACAGCTCATAGCAACCTCCAACTCCTGAGCTTAAGTGATTCTTTTGCCTCAGCCTCCTGAGTAGCTGGGACTACAGGCGCCCACCACAACGCCTGGCTATGGTTTTGGTTGCAGTTTGGCCAGGGCCGGGTTTGAACCTGCCGCCCTTGGTATTTGGGGCTGGCGCCCTACTCACTGAGCTACAGGTAGAGTCCCTTCTGTGGTTATGTCCCACACATGAAAGGTGTGCCAGATACCCCCACCCCGTACCCATTCAGCTGAGAGCACCTCAACCTCCTCCCCCCTACTTGTACTGAAATGAGTTTTTCTCCTCTGTGGGCATGCATCAGATCATCTGCTGGCTTTGTATGAGCATTGAGTCCATTGGATACTTGCTTTTCCATTCTTGGGATACTTTACTAAGAAGAATGTGTTTCAACTCTATCCAGGATATTTAAAAGATGTGATGTCACCATCTTTTGGTTTACTCATTGTCCCTAATCATCAGCGAAATGCAAATCAAAACCACCCTGAGATATCACCAGCCCCAGTAAGAGTAGCCCACATCACAAAGTCCCAAAGCTGTAGATGCTGGTCTGGATGTGGAGAGAGGGGAACACTCTTATACTATTGGTGGGATTGCAAACTAACGAAGCCTCTTTGGAAATAAGTATGGAGAATTCTCAAAAAGCTCAAATTAGACCTCCCATTTGACTCTGCAGTCCCACTACCAGCCATCTTTCCTCCTTTTAACATTCAAATCTTACCTATCTCTTAGGATTCAGATGCACATCTGTCTCAGCTGACTCCTATTCTGGTCTATCCCAAATGGCCCATGTCTCTCAGTCTGAGCTCAAAACTGGAACATTCATTGTACTTTGACTTAAATTAACTGGTTTAAATTTTTTTTTTTTTTACTTATTTTTACTTAATCATATATGTATATATATATATGTTTAGTTTTTAGAAAAGCTAAATTGTTATACACATTTAATACCATAAAATGTAACTGCTAATAAGTATACAATTAAACGACTTTTAGGGATTATATGGAGTTGGGCAGCCATTGTCACAAACCAATTTTAGAACATCTCTGTCTACACAAAAAGTTTCCTTGTTCATTGGTAGTTAGTTCCCACTCTCCTTGTTCACCCCAGGGCAACCATGGTTCTGCTTTCTAACTCTCCAGATTGTCTATTCTGGACATTTCACATAAAGGAAGTCTTCCAGTAGGTAGTATTTCATCTTGCTTTTTTGACTCAGCACAGTGTTCTTGAAAGTCACGCATTCCTGTTGACACCAGCCATGGTTGCTCTCTCCCTATACTGCTGAGTAGACCCCATGACATGAATATATAGTAGTTTTAAAATGTATTACCCAGTTGGTGGGCATTTGTGTTGTTTCCAGTTTGAGGCTATTATACATATTGTATAATATTAGCCTGTGAATACAAGTTTTTATGTAGACATAAGTTGTTGTCATTTCTTTTGATTAGAAGTAGTTTTGACGTTCCCCCCCCCCCCCGAGTATTGTTCATACTTGCCTGTTTCTTTACATGTCTTAAGGGCTTTTTTTAATGGAAAATTGGATGTTTTAGACAGGGTAGTAAAGCTACCAAAGCTACTATGAATTCTGGATTCCGACTTTTCCTTATCAAATGTTATTATTGTTGATGGTTTAAAACCTCTTTTTGTTCTGTTGTTTATTCTTTTAGTAACTGACCTAGAATAAACCTATGAAATTCAGCGCCCATAACCCTACTGTATAGTCAATGATTCTTCCTTTAAATTTAAAAAAACTATTTTTGTTTTTAGTCTGGTCTTCAAGGTTGTCTCTGTTTCTTTCTTTTTTTTTTTTATTGTTTAGTGATCATTCTGTGGTTTTTCAGAAGTTGGGAGGCTCAGACACCTTGAGACAATGAAGCCTCCGTTATCTACTAACGGGTATATTTGCAGTATATTAGTTTCCTGGGAATGACAACAAATATTCCTCAAATTGTGGCTTAAAGCAACAGAAATTTATTTGTTTACATATTTGGAAGCCAGAAGTTTCTAATGAAGGTGTAGGTAGGGACACACTCCCTAGAAAGCTCTGGGGGAGGCGGCATCCTTAACTCTTTCACCTTCTGGTAGCTCTGGCTCCTGGCCAGCTCACGGCAACCTGCAACTCCAAGCATTGCGGGGCTTGTAGCTCCAGCATCCCAACTGCTGCTCTGTCTTCACATGGAATTGCTCTCCAGGTATCTCTGTGTGTCTCCTCTCCTCTTTTTAGGAGAACAAAAGTCGTTGGATTTATAGCAAAAGTTAAATCCAGGATGACCTCCCTTTATCTTCCCTAATTACATCTGGAAGGACGCGGCTTTCAATAAAGTCACAATGAGGGTCCGAGTGGTTGTGATTGTTGGAGGACATGATTCATTTCACTACAGTGGGTTGCATGCATTCAAAATTTCTGGCAGTTTTCATGACTACTGAAACTTTTGTTTTCTACCAGGCTCTCTTGTGTTTTCTCCATGCACAGATGAAAGCTCCTCGTGGCCTGGGGGTGTCTGCCAGGCTTCCCGTTAGCTGGGGGTATTGAGGGAGCTCACTGAATGCCTCCATGACTCCCAGTTGCCTGTATCTCCCTGCTAAGCTTCTGGTCTGGCCACCGGCCTGTTGCTTGCCTTAATGTGCACTATAGACTCAGGCTGGTAGAACCTCTGACCGTTCCTGTGAGCTTGCCTCTGAGATTACTACTTATTACTGGTAGTGCCACAGGCCCAGGGCTTTTCATCTTCTGCTCCAAATCCAGCCACCCCCTTCCCGACAATGAAGCTGCTGGTTATCGGTGGCCGGTCCCACCCTATTAGAACTACTCCGGGGAAGTAGCGGCAGGTGGACGGGGTGAGAGTGATCCCAGGCAAGAATCCCACAGATGTCTACTGTTCACCTACAGTTCAGCCATTTTTCATAAATAAATTCTGCTCAGTTTGTGTTCAGTCTTTGGTCCACTTCCAGAGAGGACATTTTGAGGGGATAGCATTTGATGACCTCACTCCAGAAGTCCAGTTGATTAATTTTTTGCCTCTCCTGCTCAATTATAACTTCTTGAGAAAGAACATCACATTTGATATTTCTCAGTATTTTTCTCCTTTCTGCCTAAAATAGCACTACCCACTGTCAGTGAACAATAATCAGTACCTTGTACAAGTGTCGCACAAAGGCTTTCTAACGCGTACATGCATTATGTAGCCTTTCAGTCTGCTTTATGAAGTGAATAGACAGGGACACAGTCTCCTATCCCCATCTGCCTCCTGAAGGTGAGAATTCTGAAATGCAACAACATTCAATGACTCACCAAGGGACCCTCAGCTGGGTCAAGGAACAAGGCCTTCTGGTTTCGGGTCTTTCTTCTTTCCCCTACTCCATGAGGAAGCCATGCAGTCAAGGTTGGCAGGTGTCACTATGTTTTTAAAAATACAAAATTGTAAAATAAATAACAAAGAAGTAACAGCAGAGGTTGTCTATTCTTGTTCTATAAGCTTGAAAGAAAGAAAAGAACAAAATGGAATAATAGCTGGGTATGCTCTTCAGCTATGTGGGCATCAAATACCTTGAACAAAGTATCACTGATGGAAGTTGATTTCCTGGGCCCATTTTCAACATGTCCTTGGCTGCCTCCCTTCCTGGACTGGGTACTTGGGGAGTCCTGGGGTGTGATACTGCAGCAGAATGGGTCACATTACGTGAATGCAGGGTTCAAGCTTCTATAATGACAGCAGTCAACTTGCCTCCTAAGTCACCACTTGGGGAGTTCATTTATCATTAAGACAAGTGGACTTTGTGGCTTAGTTTCCCCAGACACTATTTTTCCCCCCAGTTTTCACTTTCCTAGTGCGTTATTTTCACATCACAGATAATAAGGTATAAATGGCAGAATTATCTTTTTAATAACTTTATTCTTTAGAATGAATTGGATCTGACTTTGAAATACTTTTGGCAGCAGAATGTAGTATACACATAGTGTTTCATTATTTTGGGGGGTCTTCAATGCCGTTGTCCCAGGACCTGGGGAAAATAAGACTAGCTTTAGCTCTCGTGGATTTTACAAATATTTAAGGCACCGAACATCTCTATTAGGGTTCTAAAAGTACCGTCCCTGGACTGATAGCATCAGCATCACTTGGAAGGTCTGGGGTGAGGCCCAGCAATCTGTTTGGTTTTGTTTTGTTTTGAGACAGAATCTCACTCTCGTTGCCCTGGGTAGAGTGCTGTGGCATCATAGCTCACAGCAACCTCAAATTCTTAGGCTCAAGCCATCCTCCTGCCTCAGCCTCTTAAGTAGCTGGGACCGGCAGTCTGTGTTTTAATAAGCTCTCCAGGTGATTCTGATGCACATTAAACTTTGAAAGCAACTAGTATAGCCGTATTTTAATAGATTGTAGTAAATACAACAATAGGAAACACATATGTGATAGAAAGGGGAAAATTGTTCACTCTATTATTGTTAGAAGTGAAACAATCCAGGGAGGGCCTCTTTTTTTTTTTTTAAATGAGAAATGACATTATAAGTTTTCATGAGGAAAGATGATTTCGAGTAACTCTGTAAAGAGTAGGGTTTATCTTGATTCGCGTTAGTGCCTCTAGGGTGGGACCTTTTCCATGAGCATCATAAAGACTTGGAATTATTATAAGCTATTAATTTTAGGCAGTGTTATTAATTTATTAATGGAACTTTGGGGTGTGTCAGGGAGAAAGAAGAGATCTCAAATTCAAACCGAATCGAATATGGCTTGGAGATGAATACGCGTCATTCACGGATGTTTTAGGATATTTAAAGTCACAGCTAAAAGTACAAAATTTTAAAAAGACATTACAGGGTTGGAACCTGTGGTTCAGTGGTTAGGGCACTGGCTACATACACCAAGGCTGAAGGGTTCAAACCTGGCCCGGGCCTGCTAAACAACAATGACAACTGCAACAACAACAACAACAAAATAGCCAGCCATTGTGGCAGGTGCCTGTAATCCCACTACTTGGGAGGCCGAGGCCAGATAATCACTTGAGCCCAAGAGTTTGAAGTTGCTGTGAGCTGTGACAGCACTCTACCAAGGGTGACATAGTGAGACTCCATCTCCAAAAGAAAAAAAAAGGTATGACTGAGCCCACAGTAGCCTTTCATCATTAGCACTTTATTATTAATAGATAGCATGGAAAGATACAGGCATAAAACTTAGAGGCATGCTGGGATTCAAATTCTAGCTCTCCCACTTACTGTATAATATTGGGTAAATTATTAAACTCATGTAAGCCTCAATTTCTCCACCTAGAAACTAGTGATAGACATATTCCCTCTTCATGGAACACACCCTAGATAATCAGTGATAATGCCTGCCATAGTCATATAATGTTATATATGATTATTTTGTTACAAATCAAAGGGTTTTATAAAGACTTGGAGTATTTATTGTAAATAAAAGTGATAAAATATATTCTATGATTAAAAATTGTTTTCAAATTAACAGATGATCTAGATCATAATATGGTACTTATAGAAAAATGTCACTTAGAAGATGTTCATTGATTCTACTAATAGATTCCTTTTTTAAATTCCAGAGACCTTTCAGTTTATTTCCAAAAGGCACCATGGTTTTCCCTTCAGCCTCACCTTTTTCCTCAATGGGATACAGGTGAACAGGTTAAGCTCCTGCTGTGAATATAAGCACCGAAAAGGTTCCAGACTCGGAGGCAAACGAGGATACTTTGGATTTGTGTGTGTTGAGAGATCATCTCCTTGCTACAAGTATGTGAGCAAATGTTCCTTGGTGGAGGGCAAGTTTTGCTACATTTTTCTTCTAATGCTTCTCTAATGCATTTGTCTGCACATAAGTTTGCTAAGAAAAATCAACACATAAGAGCCTAAAGTGTATAAGTTAGGCTGGTTTATTACAACCCTGAGTGTTGTATTTAGACATAATAAGATTTCCAGATGTAATACGTAACAGAGATAAAAGCTGGTGGCGTTTTAAACTATTCCACTTTCTCTCTCTCCTTTCCTTCATACTGCTTTACGTCCTATTTCTGAAGGGAAGGAGATGGGGCTTGTGTTTTGGGTTTCTTCTCATGCCTCTGAGTAACTGATTTTGGGCGTGTGAAGCGTTTGCCAGACATCTGGCTCACATGGTTGGGTATTATAGGTTATGCGTTTTAGAGGTGTGCCTGTACTATGGGGTGTCCCAGTTTTCATTTGAAGCCCACTAGTTTCAGTCTCATGCATAACTGATAAAAGGCCAGTTGTGACTGTTCACAGCTTGCCTACTGGGCATCTGGTTTGAAACTAGAAGTCTTGCTTGTGGGCTTTCTTTCACTTTTTTCTGAATGTTCTCACAGAGAATTGACTAGGTACCAAACTGGAATACAGGAGTGAACCAGCTAAAGTCCATGTCTCCATGGAACTTCTGACGGGGAAAGGCAGATAACATCTTAATAAGCCAGTAAATGCCGTAATATAGTGAGCAGGATGGACACAAAGCAGGGTCAGGGAGCTGCAGAGAGGGAGGCGGAATGAGGGGACGAGGGCGTGAGTTACATCATGCAGGATCGTCAGGAAAGGCCTCTCTGAGCAGACATCACACGTAAAAAGTGTCTTCCTCCATAAGGCATTTTAGGCAGAGGACTGGCACACACACAGGGTGTGAGGCAGGAGCACGCCTGGTGTGTCTAAGCTAACACATGGTCAGAGCAAAAGCAAGGAATACAACAGCAAGGTCGGAGATGTGGTCAGAGAAAGTGAGGCCAAGCCATGCACCATCCAGAGGTCACTGCAAGGACTTCAGCTTTTATTCAGAGGAGGAGGATGGAAAACCTCTCAGGTCGGTTTTGAGGAATGACCTGGCCTTATTTGACAGTAACTCTTATGGAAAACACGAACTAGAGGGGTTTGAGGAAGAGTGGAAGCTGCTGTAGTCTAGGGAAGAAACAACGGTGAACTGAGTTAGAAGTGATTAGGTTCGATATAGATTTTTGAAAATAGAACTTAGAGAATTCACTGATAGATTCGATACAGGGTATGGGATGCAGGGTATGAGTTACAGATGCCTCAAAATTCACTGCCTTAAAAACTGGGAAAATGTCCAGTTAACAGGACTGTGGATGAAGCCATTTTAGGAATAAAGGGTGTTTGGTCTTAGAGACATTAAGTTTGAGACTTCTGGGAGAGGCACGACGTTGCATAGAAGTTAGATGGAAGAATCTGGGGTCAACTGAGAGGTCCAGCCTGGGGATATAAATTTGAGAATGATTTGCATATAGATGGCATTTAACGTCATAGGATGGGATGTGATTACTTAGGAAGTGAATATAGAGAAGATATCTGAGTAATGAGCTCCATGTCACTTTGCTTCAGAGCTAAGGGAGAAAAAGAGAAACCACCCTGGGAAGGAAAGCCAGTGATTAGAAAGAGAACCTACAGCACGGCACCCGTAGCACAGTGGTTATGGAACCGGCCACATACACCAAGGCTGGTGGGTTCAAACCTGGCCCGGGCCTGTTAAACAACAATGACAACTGCAACAAAAAATAGCTGGGTGTTGTGGGGGGGCGCCTGTAGTCCCAGATACTTGGGAGGCTGAGGCAAGAGAATAGCTTAGCCCAAGAGTTTGAGGTTGCTGTGAGCTGTGACGCCACAGAACTCTACTGAGGGTGACATAGTGAGACTCTGTCTCAAAAAAACAAAAAAGAGAGAGAGAGAGAGAGAACCTAGGAAGAGTAATGTCTCAGAAATGAAAGAGTAATTTCACAGAATTAATACTGAAGAATTGAGGTTAGGCTTCACTGCATTGAGCATACAGACGGGTCAAGTCAGTGGAACCTGAGGATTGAGCAGTGACTTAGCAGTGTGCTGGTCAGCAGTGATCTTAGCCCAAGTTATTAGAGTGGGGCCGTAGGACGTAAGTTTTATTGGCATGGGTTTAAGAGATAATTAGAGAAGAACTAAGGCCAGAGACCACAGATATATTTTAAAAACGGTTACTTTAAAGAAAAAATGGTCCATAGGATGGTAGCCAGGAAAGAGAATGGAGGGAACCATGGGGACTTTTTATTTTTTAACATGGATGATACCACGTTCATATGGCAATAAATAGGATTGAGAACCTAGAGAAGAAAAGCAATTGATAAAGTATAATAGAAAGGGGGAAAGTGGTCGGAGAGACTGAAGAAGATGGATGCAGGCTCACGTGCAGGTGTCAGCCTTAGGAGGAGGAGCGTTTCTTCCACAGGAATTGGAGGAAAGTGGGTCCACGAGCTAGGGACAGTACACTGGGGGTGCGCTGGGGACAACTGGTGATTATTTCTATTTTTTCCAACAAGAAATAAGTTTATCAGCAGAGGATAAGACTGAGGGAGGAGGGGAGGTTTTAGGAGAGAGATGGGTATGAAGGAATAATCCAGAGAGTGGGACAGTGCATGGCTCAAGGCAATGCAGAACCAGTGCCCAGCTGTACTTGGGGCCCACCGGATCTGCCCTCCAGGTCCACCTCAAGTATGCTAACTTCTTGTTTGTGAGCAAATCATTTAACTCATTTTTACTGCAGATTGGGTAAGAGTCCAGTTGGCCTGGTTTAAACGAGGCAGGGTAGATGGGTAAGTGCTGGAGCCTTGTCTGGCCTCATTCCCATGGAGGCTTCTAGGGTTATCCCAGAGGCGCTATGCTGCAGAACCCCAGTGAGAGTTGGGAGCTACCCCCAGGAGACTGTTATCTCTTTTTTGTTTTTGTTATGTACACAATGATACTTTTTACTTTTCATTATTTTAAGGGATGTACATTCTTTCCTTCAGTTTACTCATAGTGAAATTAATTTTAATTCCTTTAAAAAATACTGCTCCCTGGAAATTTTGCAATGAGAGAATGGATGGCATGGCACAATAAGCCAACAGGGAGTTCTATGTCTAAAAGTGATTAGGAGTTGCCCATTTAAAGACCTCAGGAAACAAACAGACAAGAAAAGCTGAGCAGTAGTCAATTCAAAGTATGAAGGTTCCACAATTGTACTCACCCCTCAATCGTGGGGACTGTTGGAAGAGGCATTGAAGTCAAACAGGCTGTCAGTGAGAGGAGAACACCGATGTTACCCACGTTCTTCACCCCACTCACCTCAGCAGATGGGCAATAAAAAGTCAGTACATATGGTGAGGAGAATCTAAGCCTTTACACAGCCAACATAAGCTAAAAGTAACAGCGTATCAGAGACCCCAAATCAATGGATTTGATGTTGTCACTGATAGGCAGAAGGCACTGTTAGTCCTCATATACTGTGAAGATTCACGACACCTTTCTTTCAAGGAGAGCAATGTGCTAGGCACCATTATTACAGCCAGGAAATATTTATCATGCTTAATATGGGTACAATAAATATATTCTTATCATCTCATTTTTACAGCCTGGTAGTTACCTTGAGTGCAAATCCTTTTAGCTTTATTTTATGAGGAGGTATTGAAAAGTTAAGAGATATAACTCAGTTCTCATATTTGCTTATTGAAAGAATTTATAAAGATCCATTCCTATGATATTTCTAGACTGGAGATGGCTAAAATTCAGTGAAAGCTAAGAAATTGCCGTTGGATTTGATTCTGGTTTTACGATTATTCCTATTCCTCCTGGACTGACGGATCTTGACTACATTCTGATTCCTTTTCACTGACCCAGGTTAAATTATTCAGTTAGCTGGTAGTTATGTCGTGGGGAAAGTGGGGGGTGTAGTTCTAGAGAAGAGGAAGATGGGAACTGACAACTTCCAAATACCAGGTCATGGATCGTCTCCAGGCCTTTTCAGAACCTTCTTCAGATTGTGTTTCTAGAGAGAGAGCATGAGCGTTTGCTCTGGAAGCCCAAGAGGGTTCCATTTGTCGGTGTAACTCATCATCTTTACTGGTTGAATCATAGCTAGTAAGTCATAGAATAACATGGTTGTGCTTCAGTGTGAGGTGGTGCTGAACTGGGGTCCAGCTCCGTCACGGACCTGCTGGTGACCTTGGGCTGCTGGCATCTCTAAGCCTCAGTTTCCTCATTTGTAAAGTGGTGATGATAATTCTTAATTTATTGATCTGCAAGGTAGTGAATTCTTTAAGACAATAGATATAGAGTGCCCAGCTAAGAGTTTGGCACAAAGGGAGTAATCTTAACATTACCATAATCATCACTTACATTTAACTATAATAAGTATATATATATATGTATGTGTGTGTGTGTGTGTGTGTGTGTGTGTATATATATATATATACATATAAAACCACTACTGGAATTCTTATTTTGATGTTAACTTGAGAGATAGACAAAAAAGTTATAGAAGACAATTTGTTCACATTACTTCTATTATAATTGATTTAAAAAATTTTAATATCATAATGCATTCAGATTTTATGCATGTTTCACCAGATGTGACTTGGAATGGCTTTATAACCTCTGTAAATAATTGCCATTTTCAAAGAACAAAAGCTTACTGCCAGTAAAAATCACCATAAGATGGTAATATCATCTTCAAAAGGCCATTGTAGAAGCAATAATAGAACTACTATTAAAATAAGGATGCAGACTTCTGAGTTACTTAGAGGATGCAACAGCATTTAACTGTATACCTTTCTTAAAAAATCAATCCTATTTATACTCAGTGTTGTATGTAAGTCTTTTGTTGTTGTTGTTGTTGGAATAATAAATTATCAAAGACTGAAAGGCATTTTTATCCTCTGATTATTTTTATATCATCTTCCACATGCCTATAAACTTGAATTATTTTGTCACATAATTCTTGCTTAAGAATAGATATATATGTTTGTGCATATATACATATGTTTGTACATATATACATCTGCACATACATATATATATATAATTATTTGTATCTCTATTAATATATCTATGTATACTGCTATAAGACAAAGATATGCTTTATGGCACAAATTTCAATTTGGCAGAATAATTGTTGGTCAGTGACTTGTTTTCCTTCCTGTTTATTATTGTGGGTAAAATTTTACTGAGGTTTTTTTGTGTTCATTTACAAGATTTTACTATCAATAAAGAAAAAATAATTTTTTAAATTAACCTGTATGTACTGTAATAAAACTTTTTTGTATCATCTCTTAATAGAATAAGAGATACGTGATTTAAAAAGCTGTGAGGTCCCACAGTGCTATACATAAAGTTTAATAAACATTTTATGTTCATATTTTTCATAGGTGCATTATTGCAATGGGCCTTGACAAAAAGCCAACTTCAGCAAAACCTAAGAAAGAAAAGAGCATTGAGAAAAGAGAGGAGCTGAAGAAGGGTGAGAGGAGAGTGAGGAAGGATGGAGAGAACATGACACCAAGGAGAAATGAGATCAAGGGGGACAAAACCTGTGTCTCAGACATTTTTTCAGCTCAAGAAATAAAAACAGGGGACAGAGAAGTGGTAACTGCTATGGAAGAAATGGAGCGTAAAGAAAAACCGAGACCAGATGTTTGGGACAATGATCAGGACAATACTTTAAAATACGGTAATCGGTATCACAGGGTTCTTTTGTTCTTGCTGCCATTGTTCCGTTTAGGTCTTTAAAATGTGTTTATCAAAATTTGCAAAAATATCCCTTAAGTGTTGCCACTCAGTTGTGGGCTTTAGAGAATTCTGTGACATGTTGGGAATCCTGATCACACTCCTCTGCTATTTTGCCTGGAGTCCGCGTCACACCCCTAGAGCAGGGTCCACCTTAGCCCACAAAGGTTGAAGGTGTTTGTTGTGGAAGTGAGGAAGGGAGAGTCTATGCCTGTGGGAGCTCTGTTGACTTCTGCAGAGGCCGTTTTGAGCAAATCAAATTCTGCTTGGGTTTTTAGTTTTTGGATGTACTTTGGTGAAATTGATGCATTGTTCTGCGTCAGGTTAGGTCTGACATGTATGGTAACATGGTGATAGGACATTACGCAGCTAAAGGCCGTTGACATAGGCTTAAGGTCCTGGAAGCTGTCTGCAGTTTTTGACATTTTTCTTTTCTGTATTCTCTCCTCTCCCCTGCCTTTCCCTCCCTTTCTCTCTCTCTTTATACACAAACACACACACATATTCATACAGACACATACACACACATACAGGTCTGCCGTGTTTTATCGTGCTTCACTCTATTGCCCTTGACAGATACTGTGTTTTTTTTACAAATACAGGGATGTGGCAGCCCGGCATCGAGCAAATGTTGTCATTTTTCCATTTTGACCATATTTCAAGCTTTTATTGTTACTGTATCTGTCATGGTAATCTGTGATGGGTGATACGGATGATACTATTGTAATTGTTTTTTTTTTTTTTTT